GAAGACAAAGTCAATTCAATTATTATAATGAAATGTGCAAAGACCTGAAGTTACAAAACCAAAAGGGAAGAACACACTCGGCATTTCTCAAGCTGAAAGAATTGAAGAGCACCACGGCTCCCTGAACCTGCTCTCCTCCGCTTACCCTCTTGTTGGGGGTCCCCAACTTTAATAGTACCTCCACATTTGCCCCAGAAGTCCTGTACACCCACAGCACCTCTTTGAAGCTGTGGCATAAGTGTTGTCAAAAACCTCTTCCTTTTGTTCCCCGTTCAGAACATGTGAGAAGGAGGGCATTTTCAAAGAGACTTTTCTATGCCTTAACAGTGGAGAAAGTATTAAGGGGTTATAAATACAGCAAGTACACACACACACACATTGACAGCCACAAGCCATTAAAATCTTTGGCTTACAAAGTGCAGACTTCTGACCCATCCATGAGAATTTCAGCCCCAGGCAGATGACTGGGGATAAACCTAAGCTCTGAGATGGCCACTCTACCTGGTGCCTTGGCGTCTCTGCCTCATCCCTGTTCTGCCCCCACATGGACTTATAGTCACAAGACTGCCACACTGGAGAAGGCCTCCTAGGATTACCCATATGTTCCCTCTGGTGGAATGTTCATTTCTGTTACTGAAAAATACGTTTCTTAACAGCTAAATGTAACTGAGCTTTCCAGATATTTCTTTAGGGGAAGAAACCAGAGTCTAAAGTATGGGAATAAAAAAAAACAGCCTCAAACTCTGAAGAGTGGGAGTAAGCAAGTCTAAACTAACAACTCCACAAAAGAAATGGTTGACACAGGAAAGCATGGAACAAACCAAAACACCATCCTCTTTTCTCCAGAATCAAAGGGATGGTTTTCTACCACTTCAGCTACACTGACAAGACAGCTGATGAGGCTCAGGAAGGTGTGAGGCCACATGGATCTAACCCGGAAAAGTAGGGCTCCCATGATTAGGCAATTTAGCCACCAAACACTCATAGAAATCAATATTAAATTCACTGTATCAAGCTGAGACGATCTTGTTAAAAAGAAGTACAGTGACTATAAAAGTTAACTAGTCTACTGGCTGCAAACTCTGATAAGAAGCAATGGGAAAGGAAGAAAGTAGCAGAGAACATACCGCAACACAGCACAGAGGACATTGGGCCATGAAGAGAGACCACTGAGCAGAGTCTGGCCAATCCACCTGATGCCCTCCCCCCGCCCCACAGCCCATGTCACCTCTCTCCACCTGGGTCCCTACAGGTGGAGAGAGGTGACAATGGCCTAAACAGAAAGCCTGGATGAGCACACAGCAGATGATTAGCCCCTGTACAGTGGGCCTGGGGAAGAAGAGGGACAGGTGGGGGCTTTCTTCTTTTAACTTTATTCTTACACTGTTTGAATGTTGAAACAATCTTATCTCATATGTGGTGCATTATTATTTTAACAGCACACAATTAGCACAGACCTTTAAAAGAAAAAGAAAGACTAATAGTAATAAAGCAGGAATCCTACTTGAGTCCAGGGTGTGCTTGTGGACAGAACAGAAGAATCGTAGTCTAGCCATTTCCCAGCTAAGTGACGTGGACTCATCTGTAGATGAGAACACAGCCACCTGGCAGGTTTGGCTGGAGGACTACAGAGCACAGATGCAAACCCTCAACGGACCCTCGCTGGATGCTCAGTGAAAGCAAGGCCACAGCTGCTGTCTGATGTCAGAACTAGACGAAGAAGACGGAGGATTCCTACAACGCCTAGGACAAGGAGATCACAGGATTTTAGGATAAAATATAAGAAGCACTAAGAAAAAGATGGGAGATTTTTTAAAAGGCTACTAGAACTTTTCTCGACTGCAAAAATTATGACTGAGATTTTCACTTTCAAAAATTGAGTTTGCGCTAAGAATAAGTTCTATTTGCAAAACAACTAAGATAATACAAAATAATATTTGGCTTTCAACTCTTAAAGCATTTACTTCAGGTGGATAAAATGAGAAGGGTAAAAAAAATTAGACAAACCAAAAGTAATATTTAGAGAATCAGTGCTACACTTCAGCACTGGTTTATAGTCTTAAGAATTAGCTCAATATTCTTTAAAAGGCATCAAGTCCTTCATGTGAAGTTCAGGTGATAGTCTCAAAACTCCTTAAAATTCTTTTATATCTCAACTATGGAATTGTCCTTCAACTGAAGGACAGTTAAAGGATCATGGCTGCAGATCTAGTTCAACTAACTCAAAGAAACCATACAGTTGCAGTTCTGTTTCTGGATGGCAGTGCCATGTGCATCCCACAGACAGTGGACAAGGCAAGAGTTCATCCTCTGTAGGTCCTTCCTTGACTCTTTCCCCCAATCCTCAAGCAAAATCAACCACCCTTATGATTCATTTTGTTTTTTTCCATCCAAACAAAACTTGATCAGACTGAGCTATATTTTAACTTACCCCGTTAACTAAGATTCCTCCACTTCCTAATTTATATACACTAAAAAGACAATAATAGAATGTTCACACCATGTTCCCTCCGAACCCAAAACTTAAGGGAACAAGTGACAGGCTGAACAATCCAAGTCAGTCATAGATGCAGGCATAACATCTTTTCAGGGCTGATTTGATCACTGTTACCCGGCTATGCACGCACAGCCCCAGCAGTGAGAGTGCACTGGGGATGGTGATGACCTTATAGGAAGATACTCAGGCACATAGCAGACATGTATGTACTTTTTAAGACAGATCCCCTTCTTTCTCACTGCTCTTAAACACAGTAGGCAGTACTCCCTCTCTATGACTGTACTTCTTACACACAGTAGGTAGTATTGGTGCTCTATGATTGGGTACTTCTGAAACACAGTAGGCGGTACTGATGCTCCATGACTGGGTACTTCTTATGCACAGTAGGTGGTACTGGTGCTCTATGACTGGGTCCTTCTTAAACGCAGTAGGCAGTACTGATGCTCTATGACTGAGTACTTCCTATACTCAGTAGGCAGTACTGGTGCTCTATGACTGGGTACTTCTTACACACAGCAGGTGGTACTGATGCTCCACAATTGGGTACTTCTTACGCACAGTAGGCAGTACTGCTGCTCTATGACTGGGTACTTCTTACACGTAGTAGACGGTACTGGTGCTCTACGACTAGGTACTTCTTACACGTAGTAGGTGGTACTGGTGCTCTACGACTGGGTATTTCTTATACACAGTAGGTGGTACTGGGGCTCTATGACCAAGTACTTCTTAAACACAGTAGGCAGTACTGCTGCTCTATGACTGGGTACTTCTTATGCACTTTAGTGGTACAGATGCTCTATGACTGGGTACTTCTTATATGCAGTAGGCAGTACTGGTGCTCTATGACTGGGTACTTCTTATATGCAGTAGGCAGTACCACTGCTCTGTGACTGGGTACTTCTTATATGCAGTAGGCAATACCACTGCTCTGTGACTGGGTACTTCTTATACACAGTAGGCAGTACTGGTGCTCTATGACTGGGTACTTCTTACACGCAGTAGGTAGTACTGGGGCTCTATGACTAGGTACTTCTCATGCTCCATAGGTGATACTGATGCACTATGACTGGGTACTTCTTACACACCGTAGGCGGTACTGGCACTCTATGACCAGGTACTTCTTAAATGTAGTAGGCAGTACTGGCACCCTCTGACTGGATACTTCTTACGCATAGTAGGTGGTACTGGTGCTCTATGACTGGGTACTTCTTACATGCAATAGGCTGTACTGACGCTCTATGACTAGGTCTTAAACACAGTAGGTGGTACCAACGCTCTATGACTAGGTACTTCTTATGCACAGTAGGCAGTACTGGTGCTCTATGACTGGGTAATTCTTGAAAGTACCCTGGACCTGATTACAAAACCTACTCCCCAAAAACCTTCTGCAAGTTTAGGGAGCCATTTAAAAATTACGAACAGTCATAAAAGTAGATGTTGTTGTTGTCATGTGCCGTCGAGTTGGACCCGACTCATAGCGACCCCTCCTTGGGTTTCCGAGGCAGTATCACTACAGAAGTAGATTGCCCCATCTTCCTTCCGAGGAGTGGCTGGTGGGTTTGAACTGCCAGATAAAAGTAGATACATAAGTTAAAACTATTTTAAAACAAAATACAAATCTTAGCTACATACTACAAGACAGTGTTAGCAAGGAATATGACATAAATTAGTTGTAAACGTTCCTGCTTCTTATTCTGTAGCTGTCATGAGGCAGATAGCTGCCAAACTGCAGTTTTTACAGCATCTGTTCTATGAGGTTTCTGTTACAATATATGCCAGTCAAATAAATAAACAGGCAAAAGCTTTGTCAGATGACAAGTTGTCCTTCTATCTTGATAAGAGGCCATGCTGCATGGGAACATGGTAGCAAAGAAGACAAAGAGAAGACAAAGAAATAGATGCAGGGGTTAAGAGCAGTCCTCTGAGGTGACAGAAACCATCTCTGCCATGACTCTCCAAACCCAGTGACACCCGCAGACACCGCCACCTCAGCTGGAACAGCACAAGGTGGAGGGTCCCTTCCCGCCTCAGTGCCTTTGCTCATGCTGGATCCTCTCTTGCTCCTGTCTGGATACTTCTTGTCTACCTGGTTTAAACTCAGCTCAAACCTTTCAGACTCTGTAAACCCTCTAGCCCCCATCAAGATGAGATTCCTCTTCTTCTGTGGCCCTGGTACTTTCCCAGCCTCTTTATAGAACTTGTTCTAGTCCGTAGTTTCTTAATAACATGCCTGTCTCTCCACAGGCCTGCTGGCCCCCTTGAAAGCACAGACCCTGCCTCATCACGTCCATCTGGCACTCAGTATGTTTGTTTGGTGGAAGACGGATGGATGGATGGGAATAAAGAAGGTTATTCCAAAGCAAGGAGAGGACTGAGGTATGAAAAGTGTGCTAACTCTGTCTGTGAGTAGGGAGAGGACAGAAATGGAAGAATGGCCAGCAGCCATGGTGCCCTGGGTGTCCCGTCAAATGATGGTGGGAACCGATGTCCCGGGAATCTTTACCCAGCGACGCCAACAGGTCATAATTCATCCGCATCGCGTCTCTGTACAGTTCCTTCTGCTGTTTATCTAGCAAGCGCCACTTCTCCCGGCTGAAATACACTGCCAACCTCCTCAAACACCATGGGAACCTCCTCAAAGAGCCCCTCTTCAGAAAGGACCTGCAACAAAGAGCATTAGTCATTCAGCGAAACCAACCAGGCACCACCTGGGGGTCCTCCTCGGCCATTTCACTGGAAGCCCAGATTTGCTCTGAGGAACCAACGTATCCATCTGAAGCAAAGAACCAAGTTCATGAGGCCCAGAATTAGTAGGTGAAAGCCAAATGCATCTTGGGCACACCCTGCAGGCCCCTGGGAGGAAATGCCACACATGCAAGGCACAGGTGTCTCAGGTCACATGGCTGCACCTTGCTTTAGTAGTCCTCCAGGGGTGCCTGCTGCCCAACTCCCTCTGCACAAGTGACTATAGGAGCATCTGCTAAGGCTTCCAAACAGGATGGGGAGAGAGAAGCAGTAAAACAGAGCATTACTTCAAGTCAGTAATGAAAGGCTAGAACTGTCTGTTAGCTTCTCATACTTTCAAATAGCAGGAACACACCATTTTTCTGGTTTCTGGACACAGCTGAACTTACTGACATTAGCTGGTCCCTTCTATTGAGTATAAGGAGCCCCTGACCCATTCTATAAGAATCCTGGAGGAGGTACTAAAAAGGATCTGTGAGGGGTCAACTCCTCCTGACACAAACAGTCAAGAAACGGGGACGATTCAGAATTCTAGTTCACAATGCTTCCTCACAGGCTAGCTGTTCAAAGAACTAAATAATCATAAAACAAGTGTACAGTCAAGCTCACATTGTCTTGGGAGTCAGCACGCAGCAGAGTGGGCGAAAGCCTGGAGCAGCATTCAGGGCTCTGGCTGTAGGACCTGCATTCCCCACCGAGCCTCCACTTTTCAACTCTTGACCCTTTCCTCAAGTCCCGCCTTTCTTCCCACAAGATGAGCTCGGAAACACTTGCTCTGCCAGCATGTTGGCAGAACAGTAAGAAATGCTACATAAAACAGTGTGCATACAATATCTCAGCAGTATTTAAAAGCACTGCATAATTGCACAGCTAAAGTTATTATGAAAACAAAACCAGATCACTTAAGACAAAAAGGCCTGGCTATTTGTGCTCTGAGGTTGTTTCCACTCTGGACAGAGAGTACTGTTTTCTACCTAGATGTTCCCTTTCTAGCATAAGTTAGAACGGTCTGTCACACACACACACACACACACACACACACACACACAACCAAACTCACTGCTGTCGAGTCGTCTCCAACTCATAGCGACCCCTCCTTGGGTTTCCGGGGCAATATCACGACGGAAGCAAATTGCCCAATCTTCCTTCCTAGGAGTGGCTGGTGGGTTTGAACCGCCAGCCTTCTGGTTAGCAGTCAAATGCCTTAGGCACTATGCCATCAGAACTCCACAGATGATGTTTTCTTTTCTGCAAAGAGGAAATTATGACAATAGGGCTGCTGTCGATGCCTAGTGGCTAATTAGCATGTTAGCCTACTCTGCATTCTAATGCAGTCATCATGGTGCAATACAAGCTGTTCTCAGCACAGAATCCTTCCCTTTAAGATACAGTGGCTGTTCTAAACACATTACCTGACTGAATTTGGCAGAGTCATCAAACAAAATGTTAATGGTTGAGGATGTGTGGATGTCATCAGCGATGTCCTTTTGCCTCAACTCTGAGATGCAATCTAGATAAACTGCAGGGTCCCCCAGCTCGGTTCTAGAGCTTGGCAAGAGCCTGGCCACATCACTGTAGTCTCCCAGAGGCCCGGGAAGGTACAACGTGGGATAGTCAGCAGGGAAGAGGCACACGGGGCTGGTCAGCACCTCTCCAGGTGTGTCTCTGACACTCTGGAAACAGGCTGCCCAAACAGGTCCCCTGCAGTCAAGGCACTGACACAGTACAGGTGAGCCTTGCTCTTGGCATGGTATTTGAGGGTCTCCACCTTGAACGGTCCCGTATAACCTTCAGTTAACCTTGATCGTTTGTCCCTGACATATGGGTATTCCTGGCAAGCAGAACTGAACAGAGCCGTCCGCTCCTCATTCATGACCAACCATGGAAACTGAGCAAACCACGACTTCTGGATGGACTGGGCCTTCACTGGCCACTGGCTCTTTCCTGTGCACTTGATCTCCAGGGCGCCACTCTCAGCACGGAAGCATGATAGACAGGCTTTCTTCTGGGGTGGCAAACCCTGTCCAGTCTCTTGGGCTGCACCGTGCACATCTAGTTCTTCCATGTAATCCATCTTGCTTTTCCCTTCAGAGAAATGGAAGCCCATTTAGAGCCATTGAAATGCACGAGGCCCTCAGGCATATCCAATATGAAAGCTGAAATCATACAGGCAAGTGTGACTCAGCCTACACTTGCGCACTCTCTGTTCAGTCCCCCACTCCACAGGCCCACCTTACCTAATTCAGTAGAAAATCAAATAGGCTTTAAGCAAATGTTTTTTGTCTTAATTTCAAGGACAGATACACCAGGCAAAAAGGAAGTCTTCTCAATTTGACCTATGCAACCTAAGATAGTGGTACAACGTTCACAAAACTTATTTATGGATGAGAATATGGAAGCAATAGAACGTAAGATTATAAAAGATACTTGAAGCCCCAAAATACAACTCCTTACCCAGCAAGAATTCCTCCTCCAGATCCCTGAGAGAGCTCTCTGCATTTTGCTCAAGTCCCTTCTGGGGAACAGCTACCTGTCTCCCAGGGTGGAATCTGTCCCTAGACCACTTCCTTCCACTGTAGTCCCCCCTTTAGGACTTCCACCCAGTGATCTGATCCAGTCTTCATGAGAACCAAGTCTATCCCTCCCTCACACCATAACCTTCAGAGAAGTGAGAACTCGCAGCTCTCACAGGGCATTTCCTTCTCAAGCTAAACTCCAACTTTCTTTCCACTCCTTAGTGGGAACCCAAATTAGACAGCTTGATTTAGCTTCAGGTGCCCATCATGTCTTACAGGGCAGTAGACCAGTCTACAGAACTGGCGCTAACTCCAAGAGCACAGAGCTGCAAATAAGGGCCATTAGACTCAAGAGCAAGCGAGGAAGATCAAAGGAGGAGCTGTGATAGTCTAGTTACAAAGTCATCGAGGGCCCCTGTGCTCCATCTGAGGCAGAGCCGATGAAGAGCAAACCTCTGGAGCTGTTTCATGCAGCATCTTGTTCCTCTACCTCACTTCTCTCCCATGGGGTGGGGGATGCTACCTAGCTCAGTCACCTTGCATAGTGGCTGTTGCCTCCAGCCTGGCTCTGTTGTTGTTATGTGCCACTGATTCAAACCCGACTCAGTGATCCCTCCTTGGGTTTCCGAGGCAGTGTCACTACGGAAGTAGATTGCCCAACCTTCTTTCCGAGGATTGGCTGGTGGGTTTGAACCGCCAGCCTTCTGGTTAGCAGTCAAGTACCTCAGGCACTATGCTACCAGAGCTCCTACTATGCTACCAGAGCTCCAATACTACTCCAGAGTATTCTGGAAGGAAATACGGTGGCAGACAGCTACACGTTCAATCATTTGGGGTTCTTGGGCAACCACTATGTGCCAGACATGGGTGTAAGCACAGGGACTCCCCAACCTCACATGGTATTAGAATCCTATTATATTCACAATTATTAATTATAAATACTGTAAGCATATGATGGTAGACAATGGGAGAGAGGTTTTGCATTTTCATTATGGCGACAACCATGGGAAGAGTCACACTGGTTGCACTGGTTGGGAGGAATGAGCTGGGAGTCCTTGGTCCAGCTTCCCATCCTACCCTCTAATGAAGCCCTCTTCCCATGCAGGTCCACACTTACTTGGGTGACACATCATGACACTCCTCTGGCCCCAAACATTTCCAAGCCATGGCTCTGCTCCTTGCTCAAACTTACGGAACAGCTGTGGGCTGTCAGTAGTCAGTCCTGCTCCCAGAAAAGAGAGGAAACTATGAGGTTCTGGCCCCAGGTCACAAGGTCAAGGAGAAATCTGTCACCCCCAGAGGCACTGTAAGACAGTGGACTAACAGGAACAGAGGAACCTCTGCAGTTCTGAGCAGTCCATCAGGAACTCGGACACCCAGGAGACCCCAGAGAGGAAGAAGACATGGTGAAAACAAAGAAGGGGCACAGCAAGAAGCCCAAGGTAGGAAAACAGCCAGCTCAGAACAGAGGCTCCCAATGCAGATGCTCAGAGGAGCTGGGAGGTAGGTAACATCTGAGGTGCTCAGGCCTGTGTGAGGCCGCTCAGCCCCAGAAGACAGCAACCACAACCACCAAACGCTGGCTCGGCCAGCTTGCCGTTCCTCAACAGACACCAGAAATACATATTCTGTGAAAACTCCCAATATTTAATTGATGATAGCTCACCCACGTAGTTTTAAGAAGCCAAACAAAACCAGCAAAAAACAAAAGTACATAAACCAATCACTGTGGACCACGTCCAACTCGTACATGCCCTCTGTGCAACTTCTGACTTAGAAGGGCCAGTGATTTTCAGACTTTTTCCATCAGTGACAGCCCAGCCAGTTCCCATCACTCCTCACAGAGAGCTGGGACTGCTGCTCCCAAGAACCCTCAGACAGTGAGCAAGGTGAAATACGGCAAGGAAACCCAGTGGATAGCCATCCAGTTGAAAACCAAAAATAGTACACACGCATGTACATACTCTGAGATGCAATTACCTCTGTCATTGGTGCAGAAAGTCCACCCATGTAAGCAGACAGAAAAGGACATTCCAAGAAATAGAATGGATTAAAAATACCTACATTTGTTAAGGAAAAAAAAAGTTGCTTTATCTCATTAAATCTCCACAACCATCCTACAGAGAAGGAAACTGAGAATTAAAAAAGGGCTTGGTTAAAGTCAAAGAAATATTAAGTGTTTGAACTGGGACTAAGCCGAGATTTCCAAACTCCAAATCCGATGCTCTTACTACCAGTTAACTGCTTGCAGCACTCTTCAGGCACCTGAAATGAAATTCAGCCAATTCCAGGGCCATAGGCATAGTTATCCCACCTGGTACCCTGGGCCGTCCTGAGGCAGCCAGGAGCCAGACCTCCAGGTCCAGTGTGGACATTTGGATTTCCCACCAGTCTTGGCCAGTTTATGGGGAAGAAGAAAAAGGATGGTGAATGGATTCATGGGCAGTTAGTCAGACAAGGCATTGAGCAGATGGGTAATACAAAGATGCCTGGAAAAGACAGGGTCCTGGGAAATGCTCACTTATGTCCTGGCCTGGGTAAGATGCGTGGGCATGGGGAGTGAACATACCCAGTGGTGCCACCAGCTTGTCAGAACCACAGATATTCTGTGGCTGACTTAGCAGCATCCATTCCTCCTGAAGCAAATACAATGTGATGTCATCAAATGTCACAGCAGCCTGAAAGGAAAAACACCACCTTCTAAGCATCGGCTTCTTCTTCAGATGTGTCTTCCACACCAGTGTTCACAACTGCCTGAGGGCACCCAGACTCACTGTTCACAACAGACAGTCCATCTACATACATAACCTACACACCCCACCACTCTTGCCTGTGGGGTGTAAGTCACAGCATGAAGGACGCTCCTTCTTCTGGGAAGTGCCCTAACTGGAACAAAATAGTCACCAAGAAGGCTGGCAACCAGTTTTGCACACTTTCCTCATCCTTGCCTGTATGTTTTCATTTGCCTCTCCTGTGACCCATTACTTCCCAGCTAGTTCCCTTGGCAAAAACCTAGGACGCATTCTTCGGCATAATCTTTCACATGGTAAATGGTAAATGCTCATTTAGGAGGAGGTTTCTAGAAATAGAGTCAATGTTCAAATAGTCAAAGCTTTAGAGCTGAGAACTACACTCCATGTGGCTTGGAAACTCCTCCCAAAAAAGGTGGGGGGAGGTTTCAGAAAACCTTCGGGAGTGTTCTAAATTAAGATGGCAGATTGAACAAATACATTTACTTTTGTTCCCTCCTTAAGAATTTAAAGGACCCTTCTGAAAACCCCAAAAATCCCAAAACAAAAGCCCACAATGATGGGGAGCACCAGAGAAGAGACGATAATACCGTTTTGGAAACTGCAAAGCAGATGAAACAGTAGAAACTGAGCAGCTCCAAGGACATAGAACCTCAGCCTAGCAGTGGGCAGAGTTGGGAAACAAGCCAAGGAACGTACTCGGTCCTCAAGAGGCTCAGGACCTGGCAGCACCCTCTGGCCTGGGAGTGAAGGCAGATGGGCTAAAACAATGAGAATTGGGGGAAAGCTGTTCCCCAACAAATGCTTAACCAGCCTCCCGCCCCCCCCCCCGGGGAAGCTCCAGGTGACAAGCCCCTGCCTGGTGCTGAGAGATGCCAGCCAGCTAGATGTCTGGTCTTTCATTGATCAAACAACTGGCCCACCAGAAAGCTAAGGGAAGGTTCTTACAGGGGAGCCAGATTCCAAAACACACAGAGGAGAAGAAATGGAAGTGATGCAGGGAGAAGGATAAGTAAAAAACGAAAGCAACTCTTATTAGTAGCATCAGATAAGTAAGATATTGCAGCCATAAGATAAGAGGTTATCAAAGAAGCAATCAGAAAACAGTCAAGACAATTCTCTGCTTAGCCTTTTTAATTCTGTAGCATAAATATCTATCACCCAATGTGGTAGTTAAAGTTGTATGTCATCTTGGCTGGGCCTGGTTGAGTGGCTGGGTAGCTGGTGGTAATCATTCCCCATGATGAGACTGGCAATCACCTCCACGGTGGAATCTACCACAAGCAGCTGAATAGCTGCCTTAGAGATATGGTCTGCTTCCTGTATATAAGCAGCAGCTTTGGGAATGGTCTCTAGTTTATGGCACGCTTGAACCCTGCACGTAGCTGTGCTGTCGTTCAGCAGCTTGCCATGCTCTGCCAACCTTGGGACTTTCAATAGACTTGAGTTAATGGCTTGCTGTGTGGTTTGGTAACATCGAAACTGTGCTATTTTATTTGTCGACCTTGGGCTTGTTAGCCTCAGCAGTCAGCAGCTGCCTGAGTAAAGAGATGCCTCTAGCTTCAGTGGTCCGGGAGCAAGAGGCAGAGCTGAAGGCCAAGGTTGAGGGGCTTTCACCCAGCCCCTAGAGCCCGGCACTTTGAACTCGAACTTCTAGCCTCCTGAGCTGTAAGAGAAGAAACTTCTATTTGTTAAGGCCATCCCATTTGTGGTATATTCTTGTCAGAGTGGCACTATGTAACCAGAACACCCAGTAAAAGAAATAAAATTATAAGGAAAAAATAAATTCCCCACCCCAAAGGAAAACAATTTTGAGAAAGGCAGTATCTTTTGAGCAAGTATAAGCCCTTCCAAGTGGCCGTTCAGAAGGGACCAATACTCCTTTCCATTTATGAGTTCTTGTTTGTTTAAAGTTGTTTGTATCTGGAGATCCTGGATAGAGTGCGAGGAAAAACATGGAACAAAATCCAAAAACTCAATAGTGACCAGAATTACTGGTCAGATGGAGTCTGATGAGACCCCCAGTACTATGGCCCTGGAATACATTCTGTGCCTGAAGGCCTAGAAGGGGTCATGCAGCAGAGCTGGCAGCGAGAACCTCGAAGGGGCCCTGTCAGGGAGTCAGGGATGGCAGCAGAAACCTGCTGCTGAGAATGCAGCTAAGAAAGTTGATCGAACTGCTGTCCTGGCTGTGAGCTGGGCCAGTCGGCAGTGGAGAGGCTGATGGCAAGGAGGTCGAAGGCAGAGAGCTGTGTCCTGAGAAGGCTCAGAGATGGCCTGTCCTCAGCAGACTGAGAGGAACCCTGATAGGTGAGAGAGGACGTGCATGGTAGAGAGAAGAGGCTGCTTGCTAGCACACCGAGAGGAGCTGAGAGCTGTCCTGCACTGAGGAAGGGAGGGGTGTGCTCTGCTCTTCAGGGCTACGTGCCTCCTGATCTGGATCCAGAGTGGTACCCTGTTACTTCCTTAAGAAATCACTTCACTGTAGTCTGTGTCGCCATTACAATGGGTTATCAAATCCAGCAAAGAAGTAGAGTGCTGTGGGGAGGATGGTTGGTGTCAGAACTGGTAAAAAGTTGGAAAGTGGAGGTATGTCTGATCTCCACCTCATAGAGATCAGCCTTGGGCTGATCTTGATTCTCATTATCCCCCTTGAAGTTAGACAGGTTCTGACACTATTAACACTACCCTTTTACAAAGGGGGGAGGATTCGGTGGTGGGTGAAGGATTTTCTGAGCAGGTGGTGCATGAACCAAATTAAAACAGTGGGTAGGAATTATAGACGTTAAGGGAGGGAAGGGGAGTGTTGCTAGGAAGCAACTGGACATAACTAGCACGAGCAGAGTCAGATCAGTAAGAAAGTAGTGTGTGCAAGGATGCTGTGTAAGATGAGAGGGTCGCTGGAGAGCTACACAAGGGCTGGATATGGAAGGCATCGTATGCTGCCTGAAGTAAGGAGGTTTAAATGAGTTTTAGGATGGTGTGTGATGTAGGCAAAATTGTACTTTCATTAGATCAATTCTGTTGCAGAGAAGAGGGTGAATGTAAGGGAAAAGGGATTAGAAAAGAGAAGACCAATGAGAAAACGTTGGTTGTCTGAGTGAGAGACAATGCCTTGAAAGCAGTCAGCAGTGACGTACGGGAGAAAAGAGGACAAAGTGAGAAGTGCTGAATTTAGAGAGAAATAGTGGTAGGAGTTGATGACTGTATGTGGAGGTTCAAAGAGTGGGAGGGATCAGCATTGATTCCCAGGTTTCTATCTTGGATGATGATGGATTGTGGTGACATCTGAAATTTGTTCATTTGATAAATATTTGTTGAGCACCAAGCACTGTGCCAAATAAACAAAATTGACCTGATTCTTGCCAATAAAGAGGTTTTAGTCTAGTGGGGAAGACAAATGACAAGTTAACAAGTGAATAAAATAACTACAGATTTTGGTGATGTGCTATTATGATGGTTAATGTTATGTGTCAACTTGGCTCGGCCATGATTCTCAGTATTGTGTAATTATCCTCTGTTTTGTGATCTGATCGAAGGTGAGTTTCCTTGGGAATGTGGCCTGCGTGCAATATACATGAATGTTCTGACAAAACTCTCTTCTGGATCCTGCATCCAACTCATCCTCCTCTGACCTCCAGTTCTTGGGATGTGAACCACAGCCTGCTACCTGATCTACAGATTTTGGGATTCACCAGCTCCTGCAACCACTGGCCAGCAGTCTGCCACCTAACCGGCTGATTTGAGCTTTTATCAGCCCCAGCAACAATGTGTGTCAGGAAAAGCCTTCAGCCTGATGCCTGACTCACAAATTTGGGATTTACCAGCCTCCATAACTACAGGAGCCATTTCCTTAAAATGCCTCTATCTATAGATAGATAGATATCCATATGCCTACAAGGAAGACCAGTTAGTACTACTATTATTCAAATCTATGTGCCAACCACCAAAGCCAAAGATGAGGAAATTGAATATTTCTACCCAGTTCTGTAGTCTGAAATTGACTGAATATACAATCAATATGTGTTGATTATCACTGGTGACTGGAATGCAAAAGTTGGAAACAAAGAAGAGTTGCTGGTAGTTGGAAAATATGGCCTTGGTGATAGAAATAATGATAATAATAGTTTTGGATGCTAGAAGTCTGAATTCAAAGTGCCAGGTTCTAGGGGCTGTGTGAAAGCCCCTCGACCTTGGGCTTCAGCTCTGCCTCTTGCTCATGGCCCACTGAAACTAGAGGCATCTCTTCATTCTGTTAGCTGCTGGCTGCTGGGGCTAACAAGTCCAAGGTCAACAAATAAAATGACACAGTCCTGATGTCACCAAACCACATGGCAGGCCCTTAATTCAAGTCCATTCAAAGCCCCAAGGTCGACAGAGCATGGCAGGCTGCTGAACAATGACAAGGCTACATGCAGGGTTCAAGTGTGCCATCAGCTAGAGACCGACCATTCCCAAAGCTGCTGCTTACATACAGGAAGCAGGCAATATCCCTAAAGCAGCTATTCAGCTGCTTGTGGTAGATCCCACCATGGAGTTATTTGAATCTCATCGTGAGGAATAACTACATCCAGCTGCCCCGCCACTCAACCAGGCACAGCCAAGTTGACACACAACCTTAACTACCACACTTGCTTTGCTTCTCTGGAGAACCCAGCCTAACACAGACTTTTCTTAAATTTTACAGATTCTGCAACTTTGGTTCTTGTCTTTGGTAAATGACAACAGGGTCTTCTCTGGCTGACTGGTTATTTCAAAGCAGTTTGTGTTTAGTTAGCGGAACTGCTTCTTGCAAACAAGGAGATATATATCTGGTGGCATAGTGGGTAAGCCATTTTGCTGCTAACCAAAAGGTTGGTGGTTCAAACCCACCAGCTGCTCCTTGGGAGGAAGATGAGGCAATCCACTTCCATAAAGATATACAGCCTTGGAAACCCCTTGGGGGTCACTATGAGTTGGAATTGACCCAATGGCAGTGGGTTTGGGTTTTCTGGTTGTATATATAGAGAGGGATGGGGGAGAAAAAGAGAGAGAACCAAACCAAACCATGAGATTGTTATCCAAATTCAATGTACCTCAAAACAACAAAATGAATTGTGGATTTTCAGATATGTAATTAGAACCTATTAGTTTAAATAGAAATAATAGTAAGATGCTCCTAACACATCCAAAACCTTCAACCATCTCCCTCACATATCACTAACATAATTATTGACATAAAATCTCTCCAAGGATTTCAGCAAAATATAAAAGCATCCGGGCATCAGATCATTAGTGGGTATATTTATGTGCAGAATGCAAGGGTACGGCACAGAATCCAACACAGATTATGGTTCCCTTCTGTCTGCAGTGATGTGATTAGACAGTTAGCCTTGAGCTGGCCCACCTAGGGAGGATGGAGAGGGCCAGCCAGCAGCTGAGTGGCAGAGGGTGGTGAGCCCCTGTGTTGGATGGCAAGAGCAGACAGGAAGAGGAATGGGCATCATTCCAGCAGAAGCGCAGCATCAGTGTCACAGTGACAAGTGCCCCCTTCCTGGCCCTGTGGGGGATGTGGAGAAATACCCATTTCTGGGTGGAGAGACTTTGGGGGGCAGATAGACTGGTTTGAGTCAGTCACAACCTGGTGGTGGAGGAAGCTTGTGGAGATGTTGGCAATTATAGTGAAAAACCACTCAACCCTTAAAATGAAATTCAGAGGACTGTTTTTCAGCATTAAAGATCCATTTGAATGAGGAAATCACTAGCTCACACAAGTGAAAACATAGTGACTCCAGGAAGAGAGACTCAGGCAGAAAACGGTTGTAGGGCCAAAAGAAGTTACCGCAAAAAATCACTGAAAGGTTAAACATTCGTTGAAGTCGGAAGAGGGAGAACCAAGCAAAGTGGGGAAAAGACTTCCAGTGGACACATACACACACTCAGGTGGGCTACAGAGACTGATCACAGGAGTTACTACCAAAGTGCATCCGGGCAGTGAGATTTACAGTCATAGTTGCAAGATGCTCACAGTGCATACGTACCATCCAGAACTGGTCGTAAAAATCTCCAGTTTGATGTGAAACATTCCTTGGGGATGCCTGGTGCCTGTGCTGGCAATAAAAAGGCACCGAGGCCCCTTCTTCAGCAAGCAGAATCTTCTGAGTTGCCTGGGAATTTACGTGACAGGCTTGGCACCCAAAGTCTGTCCTGAGAAACTGTTTCTACATCCTTATCATGAAGGAAGGAGCTCTGATGGTGTAGTGCCTAAGGCATGTGACAAACCCACCAGCCACTCCTTTGAAGAAAGGTTGGGTAATCTACTTCCATAGTGATACCACCTTGGAAACCCAAGGAGGGGTCACTATGAGTAGGGTCCGACTTGACAGCAGTGAGTTTGGTTTGGTTTTTTGGATCATGAAGGAACACGTCTTAAGGCCATCTTATGCAACTGCATCTGAGCTAAGACTGCCTCCTAGGGGTGCATTCTTTCCATATCCTGACTTGACCACAGAGAAAATACGTCCCTCACCACCCACTGTGGGCATTAATGAGACAGTGGGCCTGAAGAGCAGGCATTGGTGACTTTGGTCTTAATTCTGCTGAATGTAGCAGAAAGAAACATGGATTCAGTTAAGGCCTTTTACTTTGACAAAGGTTCAGAAAAATTTCTTTCACACAATAAAGCAGAGTTTACTGATGGCCGATCAGTTGGTGCAGCTGGCCAGTGGGTGGGCCTAGGGGCCTGGGACAGGCCCAGGGCTTCATAAGCAGGATGCAAGTGAATGTGAGGATGAGGATGGTGGGAGGATTGGTCTTCTGGTGACTGAAGTAAACGAGGTTATAGAATTTGATGGCACTTGGCAGAGATGGGAAGTGACTTGCCCAGCTGGCCAGCCATCATGTGGCAGATGTGAACAGAACCCCAGACCCTGGGCCTGGTGCAGGTCCAGATCCGGGCTCAGACCCACTCGCACCCCTTCCCCAAGGCCCCGGAAGGAGAAGCCACACAGGACTTGCCACCAGGGTACTTTATTGAGACATGTTAGTTCCAGGATGTGGGTCCCAGGAGGCAGGTATGCAGGTGGTCAGGGCACCCACACCACAGTCCTGAGGTGCTTCAGCGCTTTGAGACATCACCTCCTAGAGACAGGTGGGGTGGAAGGACCATCGGCAGAGGCAGCGGGACCCAGCAGGGGAGGGCAGGAGCAAAGGGCTCGAGAGCTGCCAAGAGGTGCCTTCCCAACCCCACCTGCCCCCTGTCCCTGCCCCATGCTCACCTGGGCAGGCGCTGCAGTGGCAGCTGAGGATGGCCGGCAGCACAGCGGGCTCTGTACGGCCCCCTGGACAGCGCAGGTCCAGAACACGCACGGGGCTGTCAGGGTCCAGGCGGCAGCTACAGCACTCACACTGGCTCTGCAGGTAGGGCTCCTGGGCAAGAACGCTGCAGCCAGGCAGAGAAGGGGTCCCCATACTCCACCCTCCAAAATGCCCACAGCCCTCCGTAACCTCCACTGGCATGAGCGACGGGGTTGACACAGCCTACACCTGGAGGGGCTCACAGGCAGCTGGGAGAGACCAGACCTGCCTGCAGAACACCAACCCTAGGATCACAGCGAGCGAAGAATCCGCTCAGGACTGGCGGCCTGGGAATGCACTCCAGCATGTGTCTGGGCATGCCTTGGGTAGGTTTCTGCCCTAGAAGTGTGCACTTGCTGTGTGAGGAACTCCAGTCTCAGGCTCTCAGCTCAGCTCTGCAGGCATCCTGATCCCTTGGGGGAGTTGCATGTCCACCACAGTGCAGACCTGCTCACCTCAGGGATGACATTGGTGCTGGATGGGCAGTGCCCACTGCAGTAGCTCACCTCCACCTGGTCCAGGTGGCAGGGGCCCTTGGTGAGGTTCCGAAGCTCTGTGAGGCGCTGACAGGAGGCTGTGGGCCCCTCTGTGGGGGAGGTAGGGCACAGGTGAGTGTGTCAGGAGGTCAGGCGAGGCAGGTGCAGGCTGGGGAGCATGCAGGGGTCTCCATGTTCTTGATCCCATGTGAGCCAGGTTGAAAGACCCCCTGGACAGGCATGCATGCAGGTTGGGAGAAAGGCCCAGAACGCGGAGGGGAGGCAGGAGGTGGCCCAGGTCCTTCATACCCAGTGTTGGTTGTTGGCAAATGGGGCAGCAGCTCCCTGGCTCCTGGGCTTTCACCTCACCCTGTGGGAGTAGGCCCAACCCATTCAGGAGAGTACCATACCCAGGCACAAGGAGGGACCGGAAAGGCACCCACAAGTGCATGGGAAGGACAGCATGGGTTCCAGTGGTACCTGAGCACAGGTGAGCAGGGGGCAGTGCTGGGCACAGACGCTTCTCCCAGACAGGCAGCGGCAGGTCTCACAGGGCTCCTGCCACTCAGATCCAGGCTGGGGAAGGTGGGGACAGTCCTCTTGATGGCGCTTACCTGCTTTTTTGTAAGGATGCCCCATCCCCAGATCCAACCTGGAAGCCCTGCCAGGGCCATGACCAGGGATGCAGTGGGGGTCACAAGAGCCTTGCAGGGATGGACCATTGGTACCAGAGCCAGCATGTCTAACTCAGGCTTGGGGGAGCTGTCTGAGTGTTATCTAGGCCCAGGGACTTGTGCAGGGTGATAGCCAGGCCTGGGGACCCACGCAGGGTGATGGCTGGGCCTGGGGACCCACGCAGGGTGATGGCCAGGCCTGGGGACCTGTGCAAAGTGATGGCCTGGCCCGAGGACCTGTACAGGGTGATGGCCGGGCCCAGGGACCTGTCCTGGATGATGGCCAGGCCTTGGGACCAGCCCAGGATAATGGCCTGGCCCAGGTTATGACTGCAGGCCCCGGGAGTTGGGGGAGGATCTCCGGGAATGAGATACAAACTCAGGGGAGTGAGCCAGGGGTCGAGGGACGTGGGCAAGGGACTCATCTCACCCGGTGAGGACGCCTGTGGTGCCAGCACTCACAGCCATCTTCAGGGACACATGGCCCTGCCTGGCTACGGAAGCACCCACGCTGGCACACGCAGCCTGCCTGCCCCACGCTGCAGTTGCCCCTTGGAACCTCTGTGGCATTCACCTCCTGACACATTGGCTCACAGGGACTGAGCTCGCCGGAGGCTGCTGTCTGCCATACCTCCCCTGGGGAGCATTCTGCCAGAGAAGATCCCACCATCATGTCTGTCCTGGCTCTAGCCTCAACTCTTCCAGTCACTCTCCTTCCTCCAAGCTGCCTCCTTGGCTCCCGCCGGCCCCCTGCCCCCACCTTCCGTTCAAGCAGCCCCCTGACCTCCACTGAAATAGGACCAGGGCCCCTCCAGCCCTCCCCTGTCCACCCATCTCATCACATGCAGACATGTCTCTCTTCTGGAGCTCTCCTCTGGGGAGTGGGAGAGGGCTATCTAGGCCTTCTCCACCCTGGGGGGCCGAGCAGCAGAGCTGGCACGCAGTGCCATAGGGTGGACCTTGGGAATGCCAGCCAGGCAGAGGAGGGCAGCGTCCACCCACAGCACTCACTGGGGCAGGGCCAAAGGTTACATTCCTGCCGCTGCGCCATGTCTTGGGCCAGGCAGAGTGTCCCCCAGGGGCCCTCCTTGCAGCTCCGGTGCCGCTCTGCAGTGCCCCCACCACAGGGCACAGAGCAGTTACTCCAGGCTGACCAGGGACCAAGGACAGGGCACTCCTGGTGTAAGCATGCCAGTGACCCACTGATGCAGGTGCTTGGGGGTGGGGGGGGAGGGAGTTAGAGACAGGATCAGACCCCGCCGGGGTGCCCACAAACCCTGGCCCTGCTCTGCCTCTGCCCACAAGTGGCTCCTGCCCCCCGTCTCCCGGTCCCAGCCTCATGTCTCCTTCCTCCAGCCCCCTGCCCAAGCCCCTGCTACAGCCCCAGCCTGGCACCAGCAAATGCACTACCAGTTTTGGCAGTCCAGCTGCAGGACCTCGCCCGGGGACAGCTCCCGAGAGGCACTGTGGCTGGGGAGGCCACGGCGGCAGGAGGGGATGGGCACACAACGCCCGTCCTGAATCAGCTGGCCCGGGGGGCAGCGGCAACCTGAAGGTGGAGGCAAAGAAGATGCCAGGCTCAGGAGGGTACCCCGTGGGTCTCTGTACTACCTACTGCAGGAAATCCTCAGCCCTGTGGGTGGGCTCCCTCCATCCCAAAGGGCTTGGCCCTGTCTCCCTGTCTGGGGCACGCCCATGGACATAACTATCTACCCATGTGTACCTGGGGGCTAGGCCGTGCTGGGAGTGACCCAGGGACCTACTCTCCCCTGACAACCCTCAGTCCAGCAACCTTAGCGACCCCCCAGGTCAGGGACCAAGGCTGGGGTGGGGCCCACCTGGGCGGCAGGGCCCCTGCAGGTACTGCACTCGGCCCCAGAGGTCAGCACAGCTCCGTGGGCACCAGGTGGCACAGTCCAGACTGAACTCGGCACCCCAGGCTGCACAGCTCACCCCTGGGGAAGGAGACCTAGTCTGTGGGGGTCTCAGCCCAGGACAGTGCCTGCCCCTCCCCATCAGCCAGGGCAGTACAGTGACATTTCCCTCTCAGGACAGACAAAGTACCTGGACAGGGGGCCAGGTTGCACCCCTCAGTCTGAGCCCAGGGCCCCCGGCAGCCTCCCCCAGGGGCACCCCCTGCCTCTCTCCAGCGCAGCCGGAAGCCTCAGATGATCTCCTGGTCACTAAAATCAACCCCAAGGCCCTCCCTCCCCATTACCCTGGCAGGCTCGAGGGTCAGGGCAGAGGCGCTGCTGGCTGAGGGGTGCAGTGCAGAGCCGAGGGTCCCCATCTCAAAAGGGCGGTGGAAGAAGGAAAAGAGCAACCCGAAATGTGGGGTGGGTCTGTTCTGGGGCTGGGAAGGGTCCTACCCGGGTGGAGGAGCAGGGATCCCCTCCTGGGCACACTCACCCCCAGTCCACTACCACCTCCCTCCTACAGTGAGTGCCGGCTTGGGGAGCTGAGGTGCACTGACGAGGCCTGCCGAGGTAACGTGGGCCTGGGGACACGGGACAGCACTGAGGGACACGGGCCAGAAGGTTGAACCCACCATGTCCCTCCCACCCGGCGGCTGGAGCCACCTGTCCTGGGAAGGGCGTCTGCACGTCTCCCACACGTGGCCCTTTCTAGGTCGTCTGCCTCTGAGCGGCTGGTCTGAGGCCACCTTCCAACCTGTGTGAGCCTTTTGGCTGGGGTGGGGGTGAGGGAGCCCTGGCTTCCCACCTTTCTGCTTGGCCAACAGGTCCTCCACGTCAGGCTCCTGGGCCCCCAAATGTCAGCAGGAGCAGTCACAGAGCCAGACATGCCTGCAGGCCCCCTGCCCACCCCTGTGTGTGCAGGGCACCCGCCTCCGCAGCTTGGGGGACAGCTGGCTACAGGGGGCGTGTGAGCAGTGGTGAGTGAGGGGTGAGGGGCCAGGAGGCTGGAGTCCCAGCAACCTCTGAGTATGGGCCTCTTTCCTCAGCTCCTGCACCCCAGAGGGCGTGATATGTGAGGACACTGGGTGCACAGGTCAGAGACGTCACCCCACCCACCCGCACACCCCAGACCAGGTCCCCAGGCCTTTGGTCTCTTGGGCCCTCTGACTCAAGCCCTGTCCTCCCACAGGGCTCGAGGCCTGGACGCCATGGTCCTCATGGTCCACCTGCCCAGTCTCTTGTGGAGGTGGAAGCCAAGTCCGTACCCGGGCCTGCTCAACCCTGGCTGCTCGTCCCTGGGGAACACCTTGCTCAGGCCCAGATTCCCAGAGCCAGCCCTGCGGGTGGCAGCCCTGGGCAGGGCTGCCTGAGGCCTGCTCCTGGGGGCCATGGGGGCTCTGCTCCCGAAGCTGTGGCCCCGGCTTGGCCTCCCGCTCTGGGTCCTGCCCCTGCCCACTGTCTGAGCCAGACCCCACCTGCAATGTCACCTTCCTACAACTGGACACCAGGGCTCCAGGAGCAGTGGGTGGGTGGCGGACAGGCCCGGGCTATACAGGAGAGCCTACCTCCCTGGCATGTACAGTTGCTACAGGCCTCCTGGTGCTGGCTGTCTGGGGCCCAGGTGCGCCCCTGCACATCTGTGCACTCGCAGTGCCCGATGGGGACACAGCCACCACCCTGCTCCAGGGACCCTGTAGGGGAGAGGGTCAGAAGATGGTGCTAGCCCTGGACTCGCCTTCCCAGCAACCCCATGGGGCATGCCTACCCTCAGGGCAGCGGCAGCCTTGCTGGCAAGTCTCATCATCTTGGCACACAGCCCCTTCCTGGAGGTCAGAGCATTGGCGAGGGCAGTGGTTGGCACAGTTGATCAGCTCCATGCCGGCTGGGCGGCCCCCCTGAGCCAGTGAGGATAGGTCAGTGGTGCTGAGGCAGAGCCGAGAGCCCCCTGCCCTGTGCCCCATCTCCTCCAGGGAGCTCAGGCCTATGCTTCCCGGTGTTTGCACCCTGAGGGTCTGGGGACACCGGGGATGGGATGTATGTTGGACCAAGCTGCGCATCTCAATGGAGATGTCCTCATGGAGGTGTTCCCACAGGGCAACCAGGCACACTTAACCAAGACCTCAGACTGCTGTCTCAGGAACTCAGCGGGGACAGGCAGAGAGAATCAGTTCTATTACGGGTTTTGGGGGGGTGGGCTTAGGTCAGAGCCAGAGTAGGGAGACAGCAGGGCGTGGGGGCAGTGAATCTCTGGGCCCACAGCAGGCCCAGCTGTCGGATCCTGGGGGTCTCAGCCTCCTTGACTAGCCAGGGAGACAGCAGCCTGTCCCCTACCCAGTCCATGGTGCTGGGAAGTTGGATAGGGGGCGGGGAGCTGTGCAAATCACAAAGGGGGTAATGGGTTGTCACACCTGCGTACCACAGGGCATGGCGTTGCAGGGGCGAGTGTGGTGCCGCTCCCCAACACAGGAAGCACCCCCATTCTTGGGCGGAGAGCTAGAGCAAACGCGGTTCCTCAGGGATCGCCCCCCTCCGCAGCTCCGGTCACACCAGGACCAGGGGCTCCAACGGGACCAGCCCCCAGACGCTGCAGGAAAAGACCGCACTTGAGGGCGTGGCTCAGGCGTGGGGGCGTGGCTGCTCCCCACTGGGCAGGTGGCCGGATGAGGAGGGGCTCACCTGGGCAAGCGCCCAAGTTACAGAAGCGGCGCTCCTGATAGGCCGAGAGAATGTCTGGGCACCAGTGCCCGCCGGGCCCTGGAGGCCGGTACGCCCGCAGGCGGCGCTGCTGGCCCGCCCCGCAGCTGCGAGAGCAGGGCTCCCAGGAAGCCCAGGTCGTCCAGGAGCAGTTCCCGCCTACGCAGCCGGGGCCTGGGCACAAGCGTGGCTCCGCGGAGGCGGCGAAGCTGCAGCAGCCTGTCCTCGCTCCTCCCCGGCCGGGCGCAGCCCCTTCTCTGATCTGCTAACCGGGGGCCGTTCTCCCTTTTTCATGGGGACAGAAATCCCAGAAACACAGGGTGGGTTGTGCACACTTGGCGAGAACCAAGGACGCCCCTCATGGTTGAGGTGGGCACAGGACCGAGGCCCCGGTACTACAGATGTGTGGTCTCCTGGCTGGACTGGAACCCAAGGTGCACAACAGGGTGACCTGCTGGGTCACAGGTTACGCTGGGGCACCTACCTGTGCAGGTGGGCAGGTTGCATGGCCTCTCTTGGGTGGTCTCCGCGCTGGTGCAGTTGGCCAAGCACAGACGGGAGCGGTGGCGCCAAGCAGGGCGGGCGGGGTCGGTGCAGCTGCGGGAGCAGGGGGCCCTCGGGGCCCACGGACCCCAGGAGCCTGCAGGGGGTGGGGTCTTTCCTGATGAGCCAGCTTGGGCTCCCACCGACCCAGGAGCAGCACTCCAGGGGATGGGGTGTGGGGGAGAGGATGCAGTGTCGGGGGTCGGGTGCAGGGAGGCCAGGGCCAGGGCAGAAAACGCTGGCAGGGTCCCAGGACCCCGAGGTCTAGTGCTACCTGCGAGACTTGTCACTGGCTCCACCATGGACCCTTCAGCACCTGTGCGGAAGGAAAACCTTGCTCAGAAACTTCCCAAGCCTCAGCGAGTTGAGACCTCTGGGCACTTCCAAACCTGCCACTCCCTCTGACCGTCTCCTGCAGCACAAGGGGCCTCCTTTCCCTCCCAGGTAGGGTCAGTTCCTTCCTGTCTGAGTTCATACAGAGAATCTAACAAGTTCCCAGGCCCACTAATAATGATGGTTAGGGACCAATCCTGAGAACCACTAGACAAACTACTCATAGTGAACCCCACTGGGTTTCCAAAGTTGTAAATCTTTACAGAAGCACATTGCCTCATCTTTCTTCTGCACAGCAGCTGATGGGTTTGAACCACCGACCTTTTGGTTAACAGCCAAATGCCGTAACTTCTACACTACCAGAGCTCCTAAGAATCACCTAGGAAGCTTGATAAACTGTAGATTGATTCAGTGTATCTGCTGTGTAAATTCAAGTTCTCATCAGATCAAACAGGAACTAATTTTTGGAGTCCTGCTTCAAACCTTATCAGAGCTTCTCCCTCCCTCCAGGCCCTTCAGGTGCCGGGCTGGACACACACACACACAGACACACAGACACACAGACACACACACACACACACCAGCTTGGAGCTAAAAGATGAGCAGCAAATCACGAACAGATTGCGACCTGGAAGTTGGGAGACCGGACAGACGGAGGGCTCAAGCAGCCTCAGTGGCCAGAGGTTGGCCTCCTCTCCACACCCTGCTCCACGCCCCTCACCCCATATTGCCCTCCCTGTGTCCCTCACCCAGGCAGTCTGGGCTGGAGCAGGGCTCATGGTCCTGGTGCGGCCCCAGGCAGGCCTGATCACCAAGGGAGGGTGCAGGGCTCACACATGGGCGGCTGCGGCTGCGAATCCCTGGTGCCCCACAGGAGCGTGAGCAGGGGCCCCAAGTGCTCCAGGGGCCGAAGCCACCAACCACAGCACAGTCCTCCTGGGAGCAGGCCAGCTTCCCGTGTGCACAGGAGCTGGGGAGGCAGGGAGAAGTGAGGGGCAGGGAGGCCCTTCCAGCACCCCCTTCAGCCCTGCTCCCACTTCCCAGCCCAGCCCTGGCACCCTCACCAGTTACTGCAACCTGCTTGAACGGTCTGCCCCGAGCTCATCTCATCTCCAGGCCCCAAAGGTTGACCCCCCTCTCCCAAAACGGGTGGCCAAGCCCCAGGGTCGGGGCTGGAGGTCACCAGTGCCTGCAGCAGCAGTGCAGTCAATACACAGGGACACTCCTGGGGGGGGGAGGTGCAGTCAGCAGAGGCAGGTCCCCAACCTGTGCTCAGGCCCAGCCCTAAGCAGGCAGGGGAGTGTGAGGGCCCAGGCGCTATCTCAGGGACTCTCTGGGACTGTCCCAACTCTGGGTGTGGACATAGGTATGCAACCTGTGGGTCTGGCTTGGTCAGCAGCCACCCTCCTGCATACAGCCCTCACTAGGACAGTCAAGAGTCCCAGAGACCCTACAGGAACAGGACTTGGTGAAGTGTGGGAGGGAAGAGAGTGCACCCTAGTTCAGGGAAGGTGGAGAGAGCCCTCTAGGAATTGGGGAGGGGGAGAAAAACAAACCAAACTCATTCCTCTGAGTGCATTCCCACCCACAGTGACCCTGGAAGATGGAGTACAACTGCCCGTGGGGCTTCCAAGCCTGATATTTTCACAGAAGCTGCTGCTACACTTTTCTCTGGAAGAACAACTGGGTGGTTCGAACTGCCAGCCTCTCTGTTAGCAGCCGAGTGCTCAGCCACTGCACACCCTGGCTCCTGGAAGGAAGGAAAGCACCCCTAATGTCAGGAGGGGACGATCACCCCCCCAGCAGTTGGGAGAGAGAGGGGACCCCTGCCTTGTGTCGAATTGAGGAGAGCGTCTAGAAATGGGGAGAAGAGAGAGCGCCTCCAAGTGTTAGAAAGGGGGAGAGAGCTCCCCCTAAAAGTTGAAGAGAGGAAGAGTACCCCTCAGCATCGGGCAGGGAAAGAGCACCCCCTAAAAAAAAAGGAGTGGGGCCCGTCTGCCTCCGCTGCAGCCTCTTACTCTCTGGTGCACACTCCCCTCTCTGGGACACAGTACCGCCTCTGAGATAAAGAGGCTGGACCATGGCCACTCAGGTCCTCTCTGGCCAGGGCGGGAGTGGAAATAGGGGTGGAAGCCGGCTTCAGAATGAGAGGAAGGTTCGCAGCAACTGCTGTCTGGACACCACAGCTAGGAGAGCAAGGGGGCTGGGGCTGGGCGGGGCAGGGGTGAGGGGAAGCACTCCCCAGGGGCATAGGTGGGAAGAAGGGCAGTGAAGACACACAGCTCTCCCTGGCCAAGATCCCAGAGGACCAGGGCCAATGACAGGGAGAGGGCTTTGGGGCCTGGCACAGGACAGGCAGAGTCTGTGAGAGGCAGGTACCCTGTTCCTTGAGACCCAGGGCACCCAGGAAGGCCCCACCCCAAAGTCCTCCATGCTAGGCACTCTGAGCGAGGGATGAGGGGTCTAGAGGCAGTTTGGCTACACAGATAAGGGGTGACTCACCTTGGAGTTCGGAGCACAGCCCTGGGGAGGGTTGGGGGAGTGTGAGGGAGGGAAGGATTGCCATGGGGGGTGGTCTGACCTGCACACAGGCCAAGCGGTGCTGAAAGGTGTCCCAGGGGCAGTGACACCCCTCTTCACAGCCCTCTGAGTAGCAGCCCATTTGCTGTGTGACGTGGGCACAGGAGAAGGGACAGCCCTCTCCAGGTCTGCACTCCCGGTACAGACGCCCAGCTGGACACCCGGCCTCTGAAGACAACATCTTCACCTCAGTGGCCAGCATCACACCCACCTGATACCCCCTCAGTCATGCTAACGCCACCTGCTCAGGGCCTGGCCACTGCCAATACCACCCCCACATAGGGCCTCCCAGAGCTGACGTCACCCTTCCAGGGCCCCCACCTGTCTGGACGGGTGCTCACCTTTGCACACCTGGGTATGGCAGGTGCGGGTCTGACGGGCAGGCCCTGGGCAGGGTGGGCGGGCACACCGCCTGGCCCGGAGTTGCTCACCACCGCCACATGACGCACTGCAGACCTCCCAGGGGCCCTAGGCATCCCATGCTCCAGGGCCAGGGCAGCTGGGCACCTCCTGGCACTGCAGGATGCCGGCCACACAGGTGCTAGGGACAGGGGCAGGTTCGGAAGAGCCTCCCCCCTCAGCTCCTGGGCACCCCACCTGCTCCAGGGCTCACCAGGTATCACACGGCCCAGTTAGCACCTCTCCGGGCTCCAGGCTTTCCCAGGAACTGAAGGTCGGCTCTGCCCACCGGCTCTGGTTCACAGGGATACCTGAAGGGCACGTGGGAGTGGAGACAGCAGACAGCCCAGCTCCCCCCAGCCCCTCCCTCCCCAGCCCCATCCACCCCGGACCAGCTGGTGAAACGCAAAGGGCACTGGGCCTAGAGAGTCACCACCGCCCTGCAGCCCCCATCCACTCTGCAGCTCCCTATGGGCTCCCAGGCAGAGGGCAGGCAGAGCAGTAGAGAGGAGTGATAGGATGCTAGAAGGCAGGAGGGCACCGACCCACGGCTCCAGGCTGGTACTGACAGCGGCAGAGGGCAGGGAGCACACAGAGCCCGTCCTGGGCCAGCTGCCCTGGGGGGCACCCACAGCCAGGCTTGCAGCTGCTGGAGTCTGGCTGGCACTCACTCCCCAGGGACAGGTCCTGGCAGGAGCGGGGACAAGGCCGCCCACAGGGGACAAGGCCCTGACCACCCTGGCAGTCTGTAGCAGGAGGGAAACAGACAGGAAGGCTGACCCCTGGCACTTGTGACAACTCCTTCCACCAAGCCACTCTGGTGGGCTGAGCAAGGGCACCGCCAGGGAGCAGCCCCTCCTAGACCCTGCCCGGAGTGCCCACCTGTGCACTGTGAAGAACCATCCTGACAGGGACGGCTCTGCCTGTGGGCCCCAGGACAGGGTCTGCCTCCTCCGGGGCTAAGGGACTGGACACATGCCCGGCTCCGGTAGGACTGCCCCAGGCACACATCACAGGGTGACCAAGACCCCCAGAGGCTCCAGGCTCCATCCTCTGTGTCAGGGAGAGGAATCATCTGTCAGGAGGACTGAGACGCACAGGCCACGGGAGTCAGAGCAGATGTTCAGGGCCTGAGGGAGGGCGTCACACCTGGGCAGGGCTCAGGGCTGGGGCAGGCCTCCTGCTGTTGTTGGGCCCCTGCCTCCCCAGGGCACGGGGCCCCTCCATGCTGAGGGGAGGGGCAGGCGCAGCCCCTGGAGCGGGCCCTCCTCTGGCCTCGGCAGGGCAGTGAGCATGGTGTCCACTCCAACCACGGGCACCAGGCCCCAGGCACTGCAGAGGGAGATGGATGGACATTAGGGCACAGCCACACCTCCGGCCCCTCTCCAGCCCCTCTGCAGGCTGGCAGGCCGGACCTTCCCCAGCCCTGCATATCTATCTCATCAGGCCCCTCCCCTCCCCATTGCAGGCTGGGCACTACCCGGGCAGGGCACATCTGTGCAGTTCAGCCTCCCCTCCAAGCAGGTGCTGTCAGGGGGTACAGACCCAGGAGAGAAGCAGCAGCAGGCAGATCAATCCCACCCTACCCACCACGCCCCACTCCCGAGCTCCCTTCTCCCCCCACCCTCCTCATCTCCTGAGCACGCCCCCTGTCTACTGGAGACCCCCAGTATATGGGCTTGGGGTGCTGGCCAACCTGAGATCCAGACAGTAGGGAGAAACCACCCCCTCTGCCCCACCCACCCCTTCTGCTCAGAGACCAGCCCTGAGGCCCCGTACTCTTGGTCCTCCCACCAGACAGGGTTACAGCCTCCCAGAGCCAGGAGACGGGGCACAACAGCACAAGGGCCCAATCACACTGGCCTCACCAGTAGTGGCAACCATCAGGCCGGGCAAGCTGCGAACCAGGCCGGTACCGATCCCCCGTCAGCAGGTCCAGGCAGCCACAGTGGCCTGGCCGCACACAGGCATCCCCATCCAAACTCAACACCTGCCCCGGAGGGCAGTAACAGCCTGGCTGGCAACGCCACACACAGAGCTGGGAACAGGAAGAGGCTCTGGTCAGCAGAAAACACGTCTCAGGCAGGACAAAGCCACCAGGCCCCTCAGAGGGACACGGGGCAGCACAAGCCTGGAGCCCTAAATGCAGAACACAGGCCTTGTGACCTCATGTCAAGTCCCCAAGGAGGGGCAGCAGCAAGGAGAAACCTCAGGGACATCTGACGACCGCGTGTCCCCGGGACAAGCCACAGTTCTTAGGGCTGTGCAGACAGCAGGAACTGAGACACGCTCCCTCCCGGCCTGAGCCAGCAGGCTTGCAGAGGGCCTCTGGGAAGAGCCCAGGGTAGACTATGACACACAGTCCAGAGTGGTGCCTAGGCTCACTCCTGCTTTTCCTTCTCCTTGGCTCTATTTTCCTGCCAGCCCCCTCTGAGTAGTCTCAGAGCCCCATGGTGCTGTACAGGTCCCTATCACATTGAAGAGTTTTGCATTCATGTAACTCCTCGGGGAAGAGATCCAATCAGGTGTTGCTGCCACTGTACCCCTGGGGTCCGAGTAGGTGCCCAGTACACATTTGAGTGATGCACACCCACGTGTACACATGAAGCACACAGATATATGCTCACACACATATGAATGCACATACTACACTCATGTGTGTAGGGTCACACACACAGGGCACCCATGTGCACCCATGCTCACACACACATGGACACACAGAGACACACACATGCACACCTGGACACACACATGCACACACATACGTGACTACAAAGACTCCAACTTGCAGTATGTAAACGCTCAGCGTGTGTAAGACGATACTGGAGAAGTCTGGTCTCCTGCCGTCACACACCCACAATACATAGGTCCTTCTTTGGAAGAGGGAGGAGATCCACATGGGCTAACCAAAAACAGGCATCCAGAACCTCCAGCCCCAGGCAGACAGCCGTGAGCCACAGCTCCCCCAGCAATCCCTGCAGAGTGACCCTCCAGGGTCAGAGGTTACGTGGAGTAGAGAGCCAGACTCACCGCCAGGTCGTCACAGGAACGAGGACAAGGCGGGCCACAGGGGCTGTACTCGGCCCCTTCGATGGCGGTGCAGTTGGTCACTGGGAAGGAACAGGCTGGGCTGAGGGCGTGTCTCCCTTCCATCGTGTCCCGCTCTGGCCCTCTCCCAGCCGCAGGTACCTGGGCATGGCAGGGCTCGGCAGGCTTTCGCCTGGACCCCAGGCCCCTCGCAGTGGTCCCCCAGGCCCTGTGGCGGAGGTTGGTCGCAGGCGCGGACCCGGCTCCGCAGGCCTCCACCACAGCTCCGGCTGCAGCGGGTCCACAGGCCCCATGGACCCCAGCCCCCAGCTCCTGGTGGGCACAGAGAAGAGGTAGAGGCTGGGCCGGGTCGCGGGCTTCAGGCCTGACGTGGAAGGGGGCCTCA